ATAGGGCTTTCAGCCCTCTCTAAGCGGTTTACAGAGTCAGAATATTGCCCCCAACAATCCGGGTCCTCATTTTATGGGCTCAAAAGCACCTGTTCTGTGCCTGATATAATTTTAAAAGATTTTTAAGTGACCGATTGTACATTGACTACTATTCTGTCAATAATGCCTTGAAGGCAAATTAGGGAATATCAGGATGTAATCTGCTTGATCCAGATGTGGTCCTGAGAGCTGTTTTTGCTAAGGAGGCAGTCAGTTATCAGTGCTTTGTTTATAGCATATGAAAGGGGAGAGGGAGTTCAAAGAAGGCAGAACTTTTCACATTTTAAACAGCAGAGAGAATTCCATGATAATCGTAAATAGCCATCAGTTTATTCTCATTGATTTAATAACTGAGGTTGATACTGTTCATGAAATTGGAATTGTAGAAGATTTCTATTAGGTCTGCAAAAGGTATATGTATAACGATTGCTTTCACTATTTATTGAAAGGTACGGGACTTCTTTGTCAAAGTACTGAATGAGGAAGAGCGCATGAGGCTTTGTGAGAACATTGCCAACCATCTTAAGGATGCTCAACTTTTCATCCAGAAGAGAGCTGTAAGTAACAACGTAATGCATAACAATGCAGAGGTTCCAATTTGAGAGGCTTTGGATGTTGGAGCATGTAGGACACACAGATATCATCTGTTGATAACCCCTTAAAGCAGCTGTGTCTTTTCTTGGTCTGCTGGCACACAATTCTGGATAAAGGCTTTTGATAGACTTTGTTTAATGACCACTCATTTAAGTATTGCTCAAGGTTATACAGAAAAAAAGGGACATATGACTTGTATTCAGACTTAGGACACCTCAGCCTCCCTGGAATCACATTATCATGATCCGGGATCTTGGCAGGTGCAGCATCCTACGGTCATGTGACCACCATTTGCAATCTTCTCAGAGATGTTCTGACAAACAGAGTCAATAGAGAAGAGGTCAGGAGGTCATAAATCATGGTTGTGTGATGTCTTGCTTAATGACCATGGATAATTTGTTGAACAACCATGGAAAAAAGATCGTAAAATTGGGTGCAGTCACATGAAAACTCAGTTAACATTTCTACTGTTTAATGATGAATTTTCTAGTCCCACCACTGTGGTCATAAATCAAGGGCACTCCTTTTCTCTTTCTCTTTGTTTCTCACTCTGTCTCTCTGTCTCTCTGTCTGTCTGTCTCTCTCTCTCTCTCTCTCTTTCTTTCTCTCTCTCTGTCTGTCTGTTTGTCTGTCTCTCTGTCTGTCTGTCTGTCTGTCTCTCTCTCTCTCTCTCTCTCTAATATTAGTTAACTATATATAACTTATAACTAAATCTCTCTTTTCAGTTTAGTGTTATGGATTATGGAGGTATGCATATTCTACAGCAGGGGTGTCAAACTCGCAGCCCATGGACCAGATGCATCATGTACTGGCCACGCCCATACCCAGTTTAGCAAAGGGAAGGGAAGTCACAATACATCCTGTGACAACGGCGTAACAACCCAAGTTCTACAGTATTATATTTCTGGATAGTTGTTGAGTTAATTTCCTTCTAAGTATAGATATTTCTTGTACTGAGTTAGATATTGTGTGTTCCAGAAGAAAAATACTCGGAAACCATGTTGTTGAAAAAGCTATCTTGATTTTTATGAAGTCCAGTATGCTTCTTCCACTTAAGTCTTGTTATGTGATGTGTCAGGCAATCCATGACTTGTAGAATGACTCTGATTTGCCAGGTTTTTTTCCCTAGAAAAATTTGTGGTAGTGAACCTTATGCTTGGTGATACCAAACTGTAAAGATCCTTGATTAGTGAACTGTAGATAATCAGTCACTGATTTTTTAAGGTGAATCTTCTCCTGGGGAAGTAGGATACAAAGGTCCACCTGAAAGGGTGCACTGAGGAATTTGCTGATTTTCTGGAAGACAAAATTTATTGGATTTATTCCCAGTTAGATGCTGATGTGGTTGCTGGTCTAGTAGGATCACATGAGGCAGGTTCTTGTCCTGGGAACAGCTTAACCCTGTTGCTGCTGAGGGAGTGCACAGGAACCTAGGGAGTATGAGTGCAAGTATCTGTATTTTAGACCCATCCTGGCTTGTGAAAGTTTCTTGGGAATTGACATGCGGGTGGGTTCTGGTGGTGATTAATGCTTCCCCGTGGGAAAGGTTTGTGCCCAGGGGTGGTATTCACTTACTTTCCCTACCCATTCACAAATGTGAGCATGCGTGCTGGCTTAGCTCATACATACCCTGTCCACGCATGCACTCAGCCTTCCACACATGCACTTTGATTGTGTGTGCAGCTTTCATGCATGCACACGGCTTGAAAAAAGTGCCTAAATAGGATAGCATAGAGACGGGCCCACCCGCGATTTTCACTACCGGTTTGGGTGAACTAATCCAAATCGGCTGAACCACCTCTGGTTGTGCCCCAACATTTTAAGGAGGCTGTGGTCTCCCCTCTTTTTAAGAAGCCATCACTAAATTCCATTGTGTTGAATAATTTCTGACCTGTCTCCAAGCATCCCTTTTCAGGAAAGGTGGTTGAACAGCTCTAGAGGTTCTGGATGAAATGGAATGTCTAGAACCTTTCCAATCCAAGTTGAGCCTGGATATGCGATGGAAATGGCATTGGTCATGTTATTTTATGATCTCTGGTGGGCCCGGGATGTGGATAAGGCATCCATCCTTGCCCTGTTTGATCTCTTGGTGGCCTTCGATACCATCAATCATGATATCTTTCTGGATAGCTTCAGTAGGAGTTTTTTTGGACTGCAGTCCTAAGATTCTTCTTAAGGTGCATTGTGCCCAATTACTAGTAAGTTTTCTTCTGAATAATGCTTAGATTTGTTCTGTTGGAGCATAATTAATAAAAATGTAAATTGTCAGTTTCCAGACCATATTAACTTTATTTCATTTTGTAGAAAAATAAAGACCTTATGATAAATAATTTTAAAATCAGATTTAGATATGTTTAATTTTTACAGGTCTATGCATATTTATCCATATAATATGGCTGTAATATTATTATCATCATCATCATTATTATCTTCTTCACTAACCCCTATTATTGGTATGATGATGATTACAATTCTGTTGCTTTGTATGTACATTGAGAACTTCTGCACCAGAGACAAATTCCTTGTGTGTCTAATCACACTGGCAAATACAGTTATTCTATTCTATTCTATTCTATTCTATTCTATTCTATTCCACTCCACTCCACTCCACTCCACTCCACTCCACTCCACTCCACTCCATTCCATATAAATAGAAAGATAAATAGTATTTTTCTTGTAAAAATAACTTTCAGCATTTCAGCTGAAAAATAGTACTTTTGTCATATCAGTAGTTGAAGTAAGTACACACCTGGTATGTTGAAATTTCATATCTCTGTGCCAATAGTTATTGACTTGTCCTCATCAGTACAGGAATTACAAAAGAGACAAATGACCTCAACTTCTCTTTGCCAATTTAGGTAGAAAACTTTACTGATGTTCATCCTGATTATGGTGCAGGGATTCAAGCCTATCTGGATAAACACAATGGTGATAAACACATTGGTGAAGAAAAAAGAAAGGTAAGAAAGCATGATTAGTTCAGGTTGCTGTAGAAAGCAAATAAGGAATAAGCAATTTGAAAATAGAAGGCAGAGATGCCACAAATGGCTGTGGACAGACTTAGAGGAGGAATGAGAAGAGCTTGAAAAACTCTATGTTCTTCCATATAACATACAATATCCATTTTAACAAGGGATATTAAAATATTCCATTTCAGTGGAATTAAAATAGTATCTATAAATATTAGAATCACTATGGCTTCTGTCGTTATACAGTTAGCAAAAAGTACAAAGTAGCAGTAAAGAAAGGAATATCTTAGTATTTCATGTATATAAATGTATATAAAGAAATGTGTGCATATATTTAACTCTTTAAAATTAATTATGTATTTTATATTAAGACTTACTATTTTTTAATTATGGTTTCTAGGATTAAGTTCATACATACACAAACTTCATTCACTGGAAAGGAGAAATCTTATATGTAAATGGTATGATGTATGATTAGCAGTGACACTGCAATTGTTTATCTGAATCCTTCAATCTGGAAAATGAACTATGAAAAGCTTTACATGTAATGGAATTGCCTGCTATGCTATTAACTCTGTTATTCTGTTAACTACAGACACAACCAAGTGTGATTCTGACTTTGAAAACAATTTGAATCCATCGTATAGATTGTTAATGCTGAATATATTCTGGCAGTACTTTTGAAATACATTACAATAATATTTAGTTTATTTTTGTGTATGAACATGCTTTATTATTGTAATTTTGCATTTATTTAGCAAAGGAACATACATTGCTGTGATTGATACCTTTTATTGCCAGTGCTGGCTTTCTTATTGAAGTATAACAAATCTTTTTCAAATCTCCATGTAGTACATTTAAAAACTATTGTAACATATTTGAAGCAGAATTATGTTTAAATGTCAAACTTACTTATGCTATGAAAGCTTTACATATAATGGTATTATGTTCATAGCTGTTACCTGCAATAAAAACACATTCCAATTTGAAGATCTTTTTTTAAAAAAACTATATAGATAATTTATGCTGAATCTATGTTAATATCTCTAAAATGGCATGGTTGAAATATTAGTGTAACAATTTTATGTTATTTTTGCATAATACACAAAACATGATTTCTATTCATGTAACAAATCTTCATTTATAAAACCCTAGTAAGACCACACCTGTAATATTGTCACCAATATTGGTCACCATACCACAAAAAAGATGTTAAGACTTTGGAAAAAGTTCAGAGAAGAGAAACTAAGATGATCAAAGGTCTGGAGACTAAAACATATCAGGAATGGTTGCAGGATTTGGGTTTGGCTAATCTAAAGAAAAGAAGAATTAGGAGTGACATGATAGCAGTATTCCAGGATTTGAGGGGCTGACACAAAGAAGAGGGAGTCAAATTATTCTCCAAAGTCTTA